AACACTTTAAATTACTTGAGCTGACACACTCTGCCATGGGCGTCAACATTGTGTACTATTCCTACTACTTCCTGTACACTATATGCTCGTATACGTCACCGGCTACTGCATCAACGCGGCTGCTGACGCAAACAGGACAGTGGTGAAGTAATTGGCTTAGGCACAGTTCTATGAAGAATACACCACGTGAACAAGAGCTTTTCCTTTGTGTAGAAACTTCTTGTCAGCCCCTGTCCTTCTGCCTAACCCGTTATTTGGAGAAAATGACCAACCAAGGTGTGTTTAATGGCTTCTCTTATAAACCATGAAGCAATTGACGCAAGGTGGCGAGAGGAAAAAGGGGAAAAGTCAGCAGCAGCACCATGAAAAATACATGAATGACACCCTGAAGGTGAGAGTCTCCAGGGGCTGCAGGTTCACTCCCTTTGAAGGTGCAGAGAGACAAATATGAGACAACAGAGGGATGGATGTGGATGTGTGTGTGTGTGTGTGTGTGTGTGTGTGTGTGTGTGTGTGTGTGTGTGTGTGTGTGTGTGTGTGTGTGTGTGTGTGTGTGTGTGTGTGTGTGTGTGTGTGTGAATTGGAGTGTGTGAGGTCAGAGAGTTTGCCCACATCAGAATAATGCAGCTCGGCAGCGCCTCAGCTTTAAAGAGTAACTTTAAATGAAGTCTCCTTTATGAGTTACTACATTCACTATATTACACTATGTATTGATCTTGGTCTCGTTATGTACCTGCCATGGCAACAAAAGGAAGAAATCTCGTAATTCTGTACCCTGGAGTCCCAAAATACACAAAAAAAAAGGTATGAAAAGGGCTATATTTGAAAAATCTCAGACCCACATAAGTTGGATGTAAGCACATCGGCAACACAGCAGCTTTTCACAGGAGCAGCCAACGCAACGGGCCCAACAAAATATCTTCCTCCATCAGATTTTGCTCTAAGCGCAGGACATTCTACCTTCCAATGACCTTTTTCACGACAGTAGTGGCAATTATCAATGTTATCCATGTTGTCCACCTCAGATTTTACCAATCCCAATTTCCTTGGATCCATCCCAAATGAACCAACATCAACAGCCTTTCTACTTCCTTCAAAAACAGTTAGGGCCCTAGAGCGCCCTCCGAAACTGCTCTTATGAAGCAACACAAACTCATCAGCTGCCACAGCAGCTTCAGCCGCAGAAGTGACTTTTCGTTCAGTGACATATGTTGCAATGTCATCAGGAAGAACATTTCTGAACTTCTCCAAAACCATCAGGTCACACAAATCGTCAAAAGAAGCGATATCAAGAGCAGTTAACCAACGCTTAAAATGAACCAACAAATCTCTCGCCATCTCCACATATGTTAGACCTTGTTTTTGTTCAATGGACCTAAAACGCTGTCGATAGGCCTCTGGCACCAGTTCATATGCTCTAAGCACCGCAGATTTTATTTTACTATAGCTAGAGCTATCTTCCAGATATTATGGGGAATATGCGGACTGTGCTCTTCCTGTGAGAACACACTGAAGCATCAGAGCGCAGTCTGCATCAGTCCAATCTCTAGCCCTAGCTACACGTTCAAATGACAAAAAAAAGGAGTCTGGATCATTTTCATTAAAGTGAGGCAGCAAGCGCAGGTTATTAACATCAAAACGATGAGGAGACCTGGGCACCTGTTCACTCTGCCCCTCACCGGACAACGCGCCATCTCTGAGAATAGACAGACGATGTTCCTCCATCTCTAGCTTGGCTTTCTCAGATTCTTGTCGCATCCACTCCACTGTGTTTCCCTTTTCAATTCCCACTCCCACGTCGTGTTCCCGGTCATGAGTCTGCTGTTTTGGTCGGGTTCTCCACGTTTCGCGGGATTTTAATTATGTCACTGCTTTTGGCTGTTCTATCCCTTTTAATTTGGAGCAGCACTGGGGGAAGTCCCCAAGGGACCGGAATATCCCGTCCATTTCTCCCAACCCCGGTTTTACCAGGCTGGGGAACGTGCTCCTCTTGCAGTCCGCTGGGCACGATGTTGAGCCCCCTCTCCCTCTCTCCCGCATCTGTCAAGTGCGGATCTGTGGACTTGGACTGATCGACCTAAAAAGGGTGGAGGTGTTGCAGTCTATGTTAAATCGAAGTTTCATGTAACAATTATTCTCTCTAAATCACTGACAAAACAATTTTAACTTTTGGCTCTTGACTTGGAAGTATCAAAAGCGCTCCATATTACTGTTGTTGGTTGCTACAGACCACCTTCAGCTGTCAGAGACGCTTTACCATCTTTAATGCAGCTTTTGTCCAGTCTTAACTATACTGAAATTGTCATTGTGGGTGACCTTAACTGGAACTGGCTGCTACCAGAATCTGATGATAAAACATACTGCAATTCCTTAAATCTCTTTCAGATTGTTGGCAGTCCCAATAGACCCAATCTGAAATCTCCTGAAAAATCCTCCTCTATTGATCTAATCCTTACAAATGCTTCTCATAAATACACCCCTGCTTCTGCATTTGCAAATGACATCAGTGACCACTGTGTCATTGCCACGGTACGGAATACAAAAGTCCCTAAGACAAAACCCCGTATCATCATAAAGTGTGATATGAAACATTTTGTAGAGCAGGGTTTTTTCCACGACCTATTTCTATTTGATTGGGACAAAATCAATCTCATTGCAGATGTTGAAACTGCCTGGACATTATTTTATGATGGTTTTATTAAAATAGTTGATAGGCATGCCCCCTTAAGAAACTAGTAAAAAGGCAGAGACAATGCATGGTTCACATCAGATCTTTCTGATTTACTACACGAGCGCAATGTGGCATGGTCAAAAGCCAGGAGTACAGGTCTTGAGTCACATTGGCTGCTCTTCAGGCAGCTGCGAAATGCGTTTACCGTTAAAATCAGAAATGCCAAAGCGGATCATCTCCTAACTGAAACTTCAGACAACCTAAATAATCCCCTTAAATTCTGGAAAACTATTAAATCATTAGCTGGAAACAAAAATGTTATAGAGCTTCCACATTGCATTGTGAAGGAGGACTCTGTTCAAATCTCTGATAAGGCAGAAATGCTTGGTTGTTTTAATGAACATTTTATTGCTTCTGGTTCTCTGTTTACCTCGCAGAACATAGCTCAAGGAGCCACTGATCGCTCTGACGGTGGTATCTGGGAGGGTGAACCGTTTAATTTTATTCCAGTAACAGTCTCAGAGGTGCATAAAGCCCTGAAAAGTTTGGAACCAAGAAAATCAGCAGGTCCTGACAACCTGGAGCCTTGCTTTTTAAAGTTAGCAGCTGATTTTATAGCTTTGCCCTTGGCTTATCTTTTTAATCTGTCCTTGGAGACAAACGAAATTCCCCTTATTTGGAAATCTGCTTTTGTTCTCCCACTGTTAAAAGGGGGTGACCCCACTCACCTAAACAACTATAGACCCATCTCCAAATTATGTGTTTTAAATAAAGTACTGGAATCACTGGTCAATTTCCAACTGAAGGAGTTTTTATCAATAAATAACATTTTATCTGAGTTTCAATCTGGTTTTAGGAAAAAACACAGCACTACAACAGCTCCCTTAAAAAGTAGTAAATGATCTTATTTACTTCTTAGACAATAGAGAGCATTGCGCAGCACTTTTTATTGACTTGTCAAAGGCTTTTGACACAGTGGATCATGCCTTACTGTTACAAAGACTTGTTAGTATCGGTCTTTCAGGTAAGGCTGTCTGTTGGTTCAAGAATTATCTTTCATGCAGATCACAGTGTGTGCGGGCAGAAGGCTTAACTTCAACATCTCTTCTGGTATCCAAGGGTGTGCCACAGGGATCTGTTTTAGGAACATTGTTATTTATTATTTACATTAACAGTCTTAATAACAATGTTTTGAATGCAAATTTGCATTTTTATGCCTCATGAGTACAGTTATTTATTGTCCGTCAGAGAGGCTCTTTGTCAGCCTCCAGGAATGCCTTTTAACATTGTACAATCCAACATGTGTGATTTGAAACTGTTTTTACATGCTGGCCAAGGAGAAAGCCTAATGATTGTTCTCGAAAGCAAAGCCAAGGTCTTGAACTTTCCTCCTATCACCACCTTGCATGGGGACGAGAGATTGAAATCTGGTGTTGCAGTAATAAGCAATCTTGGAGATTATAATTGACTATTCGCTCTCTTTTAAACCACACATTGTGGGGAACTCTTGGAAAAAATTTGAGAATTCAATTAGGTTTTTTCTTTAGAAACAAAGTCTTCTTTTTTTCATATGAGGGCCCAAAAGAGACTAGTGTCCCCTGCAACCTTTCCTGTCTGTGGCTGGATTATGGACGATTGGTTTGTATTGAATGCCATCTTCTCAGCTGCCTTCCACCCTCGCTGGACACCCGTCTACCACGGTGCACTGAGACTTCATCACAAACCTCAGATGCCTTGACGCACCTACTGCAATCTATACACCTTGGTTGGATGGTCATTCCCTGAACCACGCGTACAGGACTGTCCTCAGAAACATTAGAATATCGTTATATATAAGTGCTATTTTCCTGTCATGCTTATTAAGGATATACATAAATAGTCTCATTTACTGGATTCAAGTTACATAAATCAACTTGGAATAGGGCCGTGCAAGCTCTTTTAACAATTATTTTAAATATGCTGATTTATGGGCAATACAGCTTAAGAAAACTCAAATATCCTATCTCTAAATATTAGAATAATCATGAAAAGTATAGGCTAGTAGGGTGGGTTCCAACGAATACTATGAATCGTCTAATAATCGAACACCCTGCAAGGGTTTCCTGAGCCTTTGAAAAACACTCAGCTTGGGTTCAGTAAACTAATCACAAGTCTACTGGGAGACTGCTGGATCTGACCTGCTGTTCCCAGAGGACCGTCATTGCACCTCCATCAGGAGGGGTAGCACAAAAAAGAATTTCTCAAGAAGCGAGACACACGCCCTTTTCACAGAGTGCAGATTTTCCTCAAGCCAACATCCACCAAAAAAAGTTCTGTTGGAAGGGGGAAAATGTGGCAGAAACGCTGCACAACCAAGGAGGAGATGACCTCAGCCTTAACAGCATTGTGGAAGAAGGAGTCCCCGCTTCCAGAATTTGGAGGGGAGCTTCAACAGACAGTGGACTTGAAGCTGCCAGTCCCCGGTATCAAGTCACTGTTCACAGACGTGTTCAGGGNCTGATTTTCAGATAAGAACCAGTACACTATTAGCTCTACCCGGGTAGAAGTGTGTGTGTGTGTGTGTGTGTGTGTGTGTGTGTTTGTGCTGCTATGGCTCCTTCTACCCGGGTAGAGCTAATAGTGTACTGGTTCTTATCTGAAAATCAGTGTGAATTCAGCAGGATTCTTCAAATCAAACGTCCTCTGTAGGCAGGTCCAACGGTAGTTCACACTGCTTCCAACAACACATCTTACATTCAAGTAGAAATAAACACATTTTACACTTTATGTTTTCAACTACCATGTGTATTTTTTCTTTCTCTGCGCTTAAGATTTCCGCATTGTCTTTTGGCTCCAACTTTGCCCTCTTTAGTATTTTTTCAGTGTTTATTTAATTTTTGCCACCTGCTTTTAACATGGTTCGCAACATGCAAGCCGACCGCACCAACTGTGCTATACAATATAGCAGAGAAGAACTTCTTCACATCTGAAACTTTGTGGACAATAGCCCACCGAAAGACAATGGAGATTCGCCATGGCTACCTGTTGTCCTACCTGAGAGACGCAGGAGGAAGACATTACATTTTTACATTACATTGCATTTAGCTGACGCTTTTACCCAAAGCGACTTACAGTAAGTACATTCGACCAGGAAGATACAACCTTGAAGAAAACAGAATCATATAAGTACATCAGGTTTCATAGAGCCAAACATTTCAAGTGCTACTCAACTGGCTTTAGATAAGCCAGTCCTTTATTAGTATATAAGTGCTCTGTTAGCAGTTCTTTGTTAGTAATGCTATCGCTCGAAGTGGAGTCGAAAGAGATGAGTTTTCAAGACTAAGCGGCTGCTGGTCAGACTGAGAAAACGAGAAAACCGACCCCCTCTTCTAAGTATTCTTCTGGTTAATGTTCAATCCATTGAAAATAAGCTAGATGAACTCAGAAGTCGGATTGCTTTTCAACGGGACATTAAGCACTGTAACGTGTTCATTCTCAACGAGACTTGGCTCAACCCCGCTATCCCGGACTCCGCCATTGTTCCTGACGGATTCACTATTTTTCGACAGGACCGGACAGTTAACTCGGGGAAAAGTAAGGGAGGCGGTGTGTGTCTCTTGATAAATAAGAACTGGTGTACAGATGTGAGGATTATTTATTCGGACTGTTCTGCTCATTTAGAGCACCTCATGATCACATGCCGATCTTTTCACCTGCCGAGAGAATTTACACCTGTTGTGATCACAGCAGTGTATATTCCGTCGCTCGTCGACAGCAACACGGCACTCGATCAGCTGTTTGGGATTATCGACAGTACGGAGACTTCACGGCCAGAGGTGGCGTTTGTTGTGNCTGAAGAGAGTGAAGGCCTGCGAGTGCTAGTTTCAGGCCAGTCACTCCAGGCACCAATGCAAGTACTTATGCACACGTTGCCCCTCTAACAACCGACCAAACCCTGATTCCACTCCAGCATCCACCTGTAGGCTTCAGGGGATAGTTATTTAATCGTCAATACGTTATGTTCTATGTAAACAATATTTACGAGAGTGATGAGGCCATATGCGGAGGCGTTTGGCGCAGCGGATAGAGCATAGGTGTTCGGATCAGGGGGGCACAGGTTCAAACCCCACTGCAGTCATCATGTCGTTGTGTCCCTGGGCAAGACGCTTCACCTTGGTGACTCGTCCGAAACAGGCTTCAAGTTATGGAGAGTTTATTAACTCCTTTGTTCACACACGGACACAGGTTACATGTACAGGTTGTAGGTTTATCCTCACACACACTCTACATCCCAACTCACACACATATATAGGGTCAACGTCACAACTGAAAACCCGCCCTCCCCCCTCTGCTTCCCCAACCACAGGCCCGCACCTCGACCAGCATCACTGTGCAGCTCTGTGATTGGCAGAGAGACGGGGGATGCTTGAGTGACACACTCAGCACCCTATACAGGGTCGCTACACTACCCCTCTACTGCAAAGTTCCTCGCCCACGAGGAACGAATAATACCTAACACAAACACCATAGCTAAACACTGTTAGTTGACTAGGAAGGTCTGGGTGGACTACCATCCCTTCCAGTGAGACCAGGGTGCATTCTTGCCCTCTACAGGAACCGAGGGATCTCACTACTACCCAAAACTACCACAAACAGTCTCTGAACCGACTCGGGGGTCGTGTCTGCCTTCTCGGCAAGGGGGCTTGGGTGAGGGGGACAGGGGGTGCGGGTTCTGGTCCAGGCGGGGAAAAGGGGAAGAAAGTGGGGGGAAACTCAGACACTGACGGGGGGCCGCTGCTCGGCTCGCCGGGGGACCTGAGTGGGGGTGTCGAGGGGGCGGCTGTGGACCCCGGTGTCCCTTGGGCATGTGGAGAAGCGACTCCTCTGTAAGGGGCCAACCTGTCTTTGTGGAGCACAACTTTTCTCCCCTTGGGAGGCAGCTGCACCCTGTAGACCACTTCCCCCACCCGCTCCAGTACTCTGCAGGGACCAACCCACTGGCTGTCCAGTTTTATGCGAGGTGTTCACTAGTGAATGTGAAAGTAGTTAATTTTCAGTTGTGTGTGTGTGAGGTTAATTTTCAGTTATGTTTGAATGAGGTTAATTTTCAGTTGTGTGTGTGTGAGGTTAATTTTCAGTATTGTGTGTGTGAGGTGTTCAGTAGTGAATAACCCCCAAAAGTGGGTCGCGGACCCGTTTCGAGTGGGTCGCGGATGTGTGAGTGAAGAAAAGAAAATTGGAAAAAAAAATTGAATTTTTCTTTTTTTTTGGGGGGGGTGGGGGGAAAGTCAAACTTTTATTTTGAAGGCCCAATTTTCTAACACTGTGCATGCAGTAGGCGTTGGACTGGAAGTAACGGAGACCAGTAGTCACGTAGTGATCATCTTCTCAATAAAACATCTTTGCTGATATTTTTTCGAGTCTTCTGGCCAATCAGAATCAAGATTGTTGCCGGAAGTCCCCACAGAGAATAACTTTGTGGTAGAACTATTCTTTATACATCCATGGGTACAACTTCAGATACAAATGAACAAATAATGAAATATGACTCCCGGTTTGATTGACAGGTCACAGAACATTGGGGGCTATCTACCCTTACCCACAGTTTAAAGTAATTCACACAGACTATCTCCTCTTTGCTCTTCTCTCTGTGAGGAGGAGCAAGCTGTCAGAACTAAGTGAAAAACAAACAATGGCATAAAATATTATTAATATGTCGGGATGTCGACAATCCCCCCAGACCCCCCTTCTGGGGTTGGGTTTTCAGTATGTGTGCCTTTTTATACAGTTCAGCTTTGATTCCATCATCTCATAAACCTTTTTTAAAAACATACTTTAGTTCTGTGAAGGGATATATGCACTGTACTTCACTTTAATTAATATTGTATGCAGAAAAGCGTATATTACAGTTTTTTTGTTGAATAGATTTGAGTGCTTCAAAATGTTGGGTCGCGATTTATTGACCAAGTAAAAAGTGGGTCCCGAGGCCTGACCAGTTGACAACCACTGCATTAGAGTACAGAATATTTACTTTGTATATATAAATAAGCTTTTAACCGCCTGTTCAGATTCCCTTTAACAGCATGCTATACTATTGTAAGCATCGGTTTGAGAGTCCATGTGTTTGAGTATGCTCAGTGTGTCCTGGAGTTTTAAGTATTACCCAAACAGAGCCTCCGTCAGGGACGCTCCAAAAGTAGAGTTTTTGTTACACAGAAGTATTGCTGAATCCCTAACGCCTCGGACGTTACACTATACAGTGTGAAATTCATGTGTTTATTTTTAATTAGCAATGTGATACAATTGATAAGAAAAATAATGTACAAAGAACAAGATTAAAACATTTGATGGAATATACTACATGTTGCAATATTGACAGTTGTTCAACTCTTTTCAGGCTTTTCTCTCCTTTCTTACCTTGACTCTTCCTCATCTCTCTGTCCTTCACCTCTATCAACCTGCACAAAAGCTCTTTAAACATTTCTCTTAGATCCCTATGACCCCCGCAGGAGCAAGGAAAGCTCATTGTAACTAGCGTAGTTCTTATTAACTCGTAACAAAGCTGCACATTCAAACTGAAATAAAAACATCCCACTGTGAATGAGTGGGTTGTGTAAGAGGGTTTTTTTGGAGGCTCTTGGCCACAGTAGATGGTTCATGAACTTTTCTAAAGCTAATATTTCAGGGACATTCTGAATCAAAAATCTAAAAGCAAATGAATATAGAGCCTTGATTTTTGGTAGACATGGTCTTCAAAATGGTCGTCACAAAGTTAATTTAGGTTCATCTACCAAAGTGGTTGTGCATTAATACAATTCTTGTTTTCCCATGAACGCTCTCTGCAGGAACTGGTGACCGCCTGGTACATCGGCTTCTTGGTTCTCATCTTCTCTTCGTTCCTCGTCTACCTCGTGGAGAACAAGTTCAACAAAGACTTTGCTACCTATGCCGATGCGCTGTGGTGGGGCACAGTGAGTTTGGATTGGCCAGGATTCAGTCAAAACTAATGAAAATGCTGATTTTAAAAGCTGCAAGAGAATTTTCATTCCCCTCTTAATTGAAGTAGCTGTCTATGATGTTGGCATATAAAGGGCTTTGTAGGTCAAAATAACTCATGCATTGCAGACCCTGGGGAGAGGGAGATATTATGGTACAAAACTCACTCTGTAGGAATTACATTGGTTATTTTCAGAGAAATGGTTGAAAGGAACGATTCTTGAATGTTTCGTACTAATGTGTAAGATTTGCCATCAATACAAATATTGAAGGCAAATAACAAGAAAAAATGTTTTCTCGTTATTTGCCATCAATAGTTTTTTTGTATATTTACAATAAACCTTCAATTGATTTCTTTCCACAGCCACTCCGGTGTCTCTGCAACAGGAGGTCTCACAGTCACCTCTTCATAAATGTGTCCTGTATTGGATGCTTATATTTCTCTCTTGTCATTGCCTCTGAGCATTGACAGCTCCTCCATAAACATTAACCCTGCATGGCTCCATTAACCATCAGTTTCATACCACCTCAAGAAATCATAGTGATACCAAATAGCTGCAGCTGCTTCATAAGGCAAGGCAATCAGTCTCGGAGGAAGATTGATCAATCTGTGAAAATAAATAGAAAGATAGAGGGATGGATGGACGGATTGACGGACGGACGGACGGACGGACGGATGGACAGACAGATATATATATATATATATATATATATATAGATGGATATATAGATAGATAGATAGATAGATGGATAAATAGATAGATAGATACATACATACATACATACATACATACATACATACATACATACATACATACATACATACATACATACATACATACATACCGATTACTATCAAAATTAACTCTGTATTTTATTAAATCATTGGCTCCGTCTTTAAAAACGTTTGAGTCTTCTGTTTGGTTCAATGTCTTTTATCAATGTTGTCAAAACAGCATTTACAGAAAGTCTTCACAAATACAGTAAAGAACACCAAACTGTGGTTCGAAACGTGTTATTTTTAAGCGGAATAAAACATTTCAGCCACAGGCTTTCATTATTGTTCTTGAATCCAAGGCCAGACGGAGCTGCTGCTATAAGTCCTCCTCAAAGGTCTAATCACTCCAACTGCAGCGCCTGAAGGCAGCATTTAAAATCAGGCCTCTGTGTGAAAAGAAAATAACATGCAAATATAATACATATTATGCACACCGAGAGACATGGGTCTCAGAGTAGTCAAAGAAAAATACTGAAAATATGCGGTAAGTCAGACCAATCAGGTGTCATTTGTGTAATTAAAGAAATAATGATACATCAAATTCAGCCCACTCACATGCTGTGCATCCAGCAGGTGCATTCATTCAGTCTGCCACAGGTGAATTCAAATGAACCTCCTAATGTGAAACTAATTCTTCAGAATCCTCAATACAGCAATGAGTGGAGCTTACATTTCCTGTACAAAGCTTTGAGAAATAAAACCTTTTAATGTTCCCTTAAAAGCACCTTGATGTTGTCATTAAAAACAACCATTTTAAACAAGTTCATTTGTGTGATTAGATGTCCTTCAATTTAAAAATTGAAGAATTATAACAAATAAAGCAAAGGGTTTAAAAAAAGAAAACATTGATCATGTAGTGTAAACTCTATAGGAAGTGCCTAATGATACAATTCTACCAAAAGCATCATGTCTTAAAGAAAAAACCTCCTTTCAGCTCTTGAGAGCTTGTTTTCTATCAATAAAATATGTTCTGAATGTATGTGTAGCATGGGCATAATTCAGGACCTATAATAATAATAATGCATTCCTTTTCCCAGATCACCCTGACCACCATTGGTTATGGGGACAAGACTCCGAAGACGTGGACAGGACGGATGCTGTCTGCTGGGTTCGCCCTCCTGGGCATCTCCTTCTTTGCACTGCCAGCTGTGAGTCTGTATTCTTCAATTAAATACGTTCTTCGTTAAAACGTAACTTTTTCAGTGTTGATTCCTCACATCAGTTTGTGAAGCTTTGTTAGCCTGAAAGTTGTCAAAACTGGATTTGAGTTTTTTCCTAAAAAATATGATCTGCTTCCTCTATGAACCAAGCACTCTAACATTAATTAACATTAATTTAAGACATGTGACAATGCACCAGCAAAAATATTGTAGAAATTGGCTTCTAAGCAAACGGAAATGTATTCAATTAGTTTTTTTAGGCCTCAAGAATACACCCTTCTTAGTGAGAATATGTGTACAATAGTATCTAAATCCATAAAGCAGTTAGCTTAGTGTAGCATAATGTTTAAATAGCTAGTCGAGCTCTCTCCAAAGTTTAAAATATTGATGACTAGCAGTACTCCTTTTTAATGAATTTTTTACTTTCTTTTATTGATTTCTTTCACAAGGTAAAATTGCACACAAACAAATATTACATTTCAGAGAGAAAAGTGTAGTACGGAGACGATCTACATAGTTATAAAATATTGCTTGGTGTTTTATGACTCCTTTGTTGATATGTACCTTAACCATTTTTCCCAGCCCTTAAGAAATGTGTCTTCCATTACTTTCAACTTGTATGTTGCTTTTCTCCATTATTATTAGGATAAAATATGAACCCATTGTCTGTAGCTTGGTGTTTCTGCCTTTAGCCAGTTTTTAGTGATAGCCTTCTCTCCAGCTGCTAGGAGGATCTTGATCAGGTATTGATCTCCGACATGTACAGATCCTTCCATATGTCCCAGGTATAATACCAAACAGATTCGAGGGATTCTATAGCCTAATATCTTGCATAGAACAGAGTGTGCACAGTCCCAGAAAGGTTGCATTTTACTGCAGCTTCAAAACACATGTGTATGGTGAGGTTCCAGATGTTTACAAAGTCTCCAGCATTATTGTTGAGTGTTTGTTTACTTGTGATTTTGGGTGTGTAAAAGAAACAAATTACTTTTTTCCACAGAAATTCTCTCCATCCGTGTGACTGTGTAGTGGTCTGGTGCATTTTCCACATATCATACCACATCTCATCTCTGAGATCCTTTCGTTTAGTTATTTTCCCCATTTAGTTTTTACATAGTGTTGAATCTGTTTTGGCTTCCATCAAGCACGAATACAGGGTTGACACAACTTTGGGAACATCATCATGGTAAGCGCGTGCAATAATCTTTACAATAGGTTGTATGTCATTGTCATCTTCATTTTTCTTAACCTTTTTTGTATTGTCCCTAATTTGCATATATCTGAATAAGTCTTTGTTCTCTAGGTCAAAGAGGTTTTTCAGGTCTTGAAAGCTTCTAATTTCTCCCTTCTGGAGGACCGTGCATATGGCTGTTAAACCCTTTTCTGTGCATTGCTTGAATCTACAGTCATAGCTTCCTTGTTTGAATCCTTTGTCATAGGCTATCCAGTCTAATAGTCCAAGTTGCCAATTTCAATTGTTTAATAATAGAATACCATTTTTCTATTGTAAATGTTGTTATTGGTTCTAGGTCTCCATTTTCTTTAATGGGGAGGCATTTCTCTTTGCCCTATGAGTGGTTGAATTGGGGACTCATACCTAAGTATTTCGATGTCTTTCCAGCGGGCTTTATAATCGGAGTTGCACCAGTAAATGAGAGGTAGTTGTGCTGCATGATAATATTCCTTTAGGTTTGGAAGTGCCAGTCCCCCTCTTTCTTTAGGCAATTGCAGTGTGGTATATCTTATCCTAGGTCTTTTACCCCCCCATATGAATCTTGATATAAGCTTATCCCAGCCTTGGAACTGAATCTGCGGTATATTTATCGGCAAGGATTGAAATAAATACAACAAGCGTGGTAGAATATTCATTTTCACTGTATTTATCCTGTCAATAAAACTCATCGGGTACGTTTTTCTAAATCTTTCCTTATATTCTTTGTCAATACTATTCATAGTTGCTTTGGTACAGCTTTCTACATTTTTTT